TTTGAGCTCCATCCGGGAACATAGACGAGGACACCATCCGCACGTTCCGTGAATCCGTCTTGGTTTTGTTCTCCGGCCCATGTGATGTTGCGATACGCGCCACCGACTGGGGCGCCAGCGTTACGGAGGGAGTCGACCTGCACGTTGGAGTAGCCAGGATGTGTGAACTCGAGGAGACTCTTCAGGTACACCCGGGGAATTTGATTTGTCCAGCCTGGTGTAGTGCCCCAGTCGAGATGGCCACCAAAATACCAACTCAACCCCAATTCGGGCACAGATACTCCAGCTCCTTCTGCTGCACGCTGCACGGGCACGGCTCCTGCGTCGGAATACTGGCCAGCAGACGTTACCGGGCTTTTGAATTCAGTCCACGTGGACGACGCTACGTCGTACATCCAGGTTGAGACAGGCGATGGGTTGGATGACGGGTAGTCAAATTCACCACCGTAAAGAAACAGATGCTCGAAGTCATTCCAGAGATATCCCAATGACACAGCTGGCGGGCCGTCTGGTTGAGGCATCCCGTTCAACGCGGGAGAGTTGATATCCCAGGACCTCGTTAGGTCTAACGTAATGAAGTCGTTGTCTGCTCTTTGTCAGTCTCAAACCTCACAGCATAGGGCCCGTCGAATACATACTCCATGTACTCTCCGTCTGATTAGCCGTTATATTCGCCCGGCCACCATAGTAATAAAGCGTCCCATTCAAAACAGCGCCTGCTATTATTAGCATTTATCTTGCCCTATGCATCGTGCTCCCTATGCTTACTTTGCCCAGCCCACCTCTTGCACACATACGTCGGACTGTTGGCGCGACTTTCTAGTACAGGCCTGACTATGGGTTCCCGAATCACCCCGGCCTCTACGCCGTTTGCTTCAACCTTGCGACGACCACTATTATAGCCTATGGTGGGGAGGACTACAGCAGCAAGCAAGGCGATCATAGTAGCTCTCATTGAAGTGGGAGGCGGAGGCGCAGCTGATTTGACCTGCGGTCGTTTTTCTGGTATCAACTTCGAAATCCACTTTTCTCGAGTTAGCCTTCCCCCAACAGTATGTCTGCGTTTACACGCTGGGGGTTTCGGTTCCGGCGGCTGCGTCTTAGTTTCGCGGTGCTGCTTCTCCTGGCAACTCTGCCTAACAGCTGGAACCGCGGCGTTCTCTTCGTCGGGCCACAGTCCAACCTCCCGAAACACCGACTTCCTCTCTTTCCGAATCTTGCCGCTCATGGGAAATGCCACAAATTTCGAGCCTTCTTCTAACCTGTCGAAGGTGACTTGGGAGTTAAAACGTGGCCGTTCGACGCTTGGACGCTGCTCGCTTGTATCTGGAGTGCTATGGCGAGGTCCAGGGGATGTTATAACGTGATGTTTTCACCATAAGTATACAAGTGCGAACCTGTCATTTCTTACGATGCGAGTTTTCAGGCTTCGCATGATGCAAAGGTGGGAAGGAGGGACGACATGAAGAGGCTTTAGATTTTCTACATATGTAATATGCTACAAGGGCTGTGAGTTGTCAACCAGGATTTCTTGACTCTCGCCACCTGACTGTAGTATCATGGCATCAGTTCAGTTTAAGATCAACGGTCGAGCTACGATACTAACCTAGCTGGGATCTGTTCAAGGGTGATTCCAACTGGTCTATAACTGTCGGTAAGTGCCCTTAACGACTTTGTGACAGGGGATGAACTAGGTCCTGGCTCAACTACATCATACCTTACATAATGGATGAATAGTTGTGAAGTATGAAGTGGGCACCGCCCATTCGGGTTGGGCAATTAAGTCTACCCCAGATTGTTAAGACAAGCTCCTTGGCCTTGTTTCGATACTGGTGGCTGTTCATTGCCCTTTTAGGACTATATGTCCGGAATACTATGATTTAATTGGGCTTCGGGAATCCATAGCCTTCGCAAAATGACGACAGAATACTTACCTGATCTGGGTTTGTAGGGCACCCCGGGACAAAATCCCCGACGGATTATGCAGCGCATCAACAGATGACGAACGAAATCAGAACGAGCAGAACCTAGCCACCAAATAAGCCACAACTTAAACCCACAGTTACGACACACTGAACAATTGCTGCGTAGCATGCGCTGCACCGCCTCGCATCATATAGGCAGTAGGTAATAACGGGTGCGTATGGTTCATCACCTAACGAGCATAGTATTTCAGCAATTCTTTGATAATTGCACATTTACGTAATGAAGAGTAAGGGTAAAAAGTAGGTAGTCGAGACTCACGGGGTTTTCCATCAAGCTATATAGGTGACTTCTTATCCATATATTCTAATGATGCATGAATTAATCGAGAGGGGTGTTCTAGGAGCGAAATATTGGAGTCTAGGTTATACTACATCCTACAATATGCTTGGCAAGTGATATCATCGCATCGCACGTTTGAATCTCAGATCTTTACGCCCCCATTCCCCATCATGACCTCCAGCGCCGACAACGCTAGCAAACCTGGTGTTCGGGCTTCCGCGCCGTCACAAAGCCGGCGACGTTCGCTCTGCACGTGCGACTGTAGTTTTCAAAAGTTTCCTCCGCGTACCACGCCACATGCGGCGTCGTCACCAAATTGAGGTCCGCCGTATCCGCAGCGAGCAGAACGCTATTAGACGGCTCTGCCGGTTCCTGAGAATAGACATCCGTCCCGGCCCCCGCGATCTTCCCCTCCCTCAGCGCAGAGAGGAGGGCTTTCTCGTCGACGATGCCGCCCCGCGACACGTTGATCAGCAGCCCGTAGGGCTTCATCTGATCAAACTCTTCGCCGGAGATAAGATTGAGGGTCTCGGGCGAGCGCGGCAGGCAGACGATCAGCACCGAGGACTCGCGGACGACGGTCTCGAACGGCACGCGACCCTCTGGCGCGGAGACGCCTTTGCGCCCGGCGACGACGGTCTTCATGCCCAGCGATCTCGCTACCGACTCGATATTCCGCCCGATCGCGCCGTAGCCGATAATACCCACGAGCTCGTCGCGGCACGTCCTCGGCGGCTTGCCGTCGGGGCCGTCCATGGTGGCCTGCTGTGATCCCTTAGAGACCCAGTCGCCGGCGCGCGTGAGTGAGTTCGTGAGAATGATGGAGCGGCGCGTTGCGAAATAGAGCGCGAGTGCATGTTCAGTGACTGTGGTGACGTTGCAGTGAGGAGTGTTGCCCACAATTATCCCCCGGGCTCGGCAGGCTGCCAAGTCCACGGTGTCTGTGCCTGAAGCAATTATAGATACCACTATCCGAGACTCGCAGTTAGTTGTTGTGGTATGCGCCGAATATTCCAAAGTGTACGTGCGCAATTCGGACTGGCTTGGGCAATCGTACTCTTCAGGCGCGGGGTTGCCTCTGCGCTCAAAATCTCCGCCGTCAACGGCAGAATTGTCATTATCACAATGTCGGCATCGCGAATCCGCTCTGCTATCTGGTCCGGCCTGGTCCGCTCATAGTCACGGAATTCACAGGTATGGCCTGCCGGGAGATTGAAGTCGGGCAGCGGACAGAAGAACGTCTCCAATGCGACGATGACCCAATGGGTCTGTGACTCGGTCATTTCGGCGTGGGTCAGTTGTTCAGCTAGCGGCAGACAGGTTTGAGTATGAACGATTTGGAGCCTTTTAGTATATCGCAAGTCCTAAAACCGTGAAATTTGCTGAAATATGTCCGTTTTCCGCGACCGGTGGTTGGGTCTGTCATTGAAGGGCGTGACTGCGATACGGAGGTGGGATCAAAATGTCCCCACACCTTCGGTCGATCACGTCTCCCCTTGAAATCATGATATTACTATAGATACTAATTGCACTTCAATTGAGGACCGAACAAGTCAATAAATGGACTCCTCCCTCCAAAAAACTCTATTACGGACGTGCTCGACGTATAATAAATGTTTCGGTCGTGTCACGATGGCCTATTCCAAGTGACCATCGCGTAAATCCAACCAACTTAGCCCAAAAGGTGAATATATCAATACATCTACCACCTGTTCTTAATTACGTGTGCCGTATTCTTCTTCCCTTTCCATTTATTTTCATGAACCCACATCTATTCCCTTTTCAATAAAAGCTCTTGGTCAGCCTTTAGCATTCGTGTAACTAAAGCATCCAACTCATAATAAATGAATTCGAAGTCTACAAGATCATAAACCTTTCATCTCCGTGCATCTACCTGCTTACACCTCCTTCAAACCCTTATCTTATACGATATAGAATGAGTAATACAAACTCTACAGCCACCATGTTAGCTATACCTATTTCATTCACTCTCTGCTTGTTCATTCCCCCCACCATAACATATCGATCTACTCCATTGAATCTAGATACCTTTACTTTGCCCGTTTTAATACAGAGAAACAGCAAAAGTAAAGGGTCTGGCCGGGGATTGAACCCGGGACCTCTCGCATATTGAGCATAGGGTGTACCCTAAGCGAGAATCATACCACTAGACCACCAGACCAAAATATGAGAAAACGCGGACCTCGCAAGGTCAGCACCCGTTACCAAGTGCAACCTGGGACGACAACGACAGGACTCGAACCTGTGACCCCGAAGGGATATGATATTCTAGAGGCTTTCTAGTCATACGCTTTAACCACTCAGCCACGTTGCCAACGCTTGAACGAGTTGATGAAAAGCGGTTACAGAATGGAGTCATGTATTGGAGCGCTTCTGGGTAGCGTTGCAAGGTATGGGCGCTAGGTTGGACGCCAAGAAGAAATTTGTTGTGGGCAAGGGTTTGTTTGTCTAGCGGCTTCTTGTGTAAGTAGGAAGCAACTAAACTAACCTTACCTACTTTATCTAGTTAGTACTTCCTTAATTCTACAAGCATCGAGTTTAAAAAACTAACATATACACTTTATCCCGCCTGGTTTTAAAAGCAATATCATTTAAGAAGCAATCTACTCATGAATTAAATATACGTAGTATACATGGTTAACTATAGCAAAATGGGGAAGAAAAAAAACAATGGGGTTGCTACTCCAAGTGAACATTGGAGGCATCAGGAATTGAGCCCGATGCGGGGGTCGAACCTAAGAACATATTGTCAGTCGTGATTCATACATAAATGCTTAGATCATGCCACTCACCCGCAACCTTGAGATTAAGAGTCTCACGCTCTACCGATTGAGCTAACCGGGCGATATTTTGTCCGGTTTTTATAATCCTCCACATAGAATGAACGGTGGGGATACCATCAAGCGTGGCTACACGCACTAGTGCTGGGCACTTCCGCTCCCCGTCCGACCGACACTCAGATTCGTGTCGTCAGTACATTAGCGCCGGAGATGTCCAATGTCGACTTGGTGCTAGAAGGGGGAATTTTGACCCGGTACTGAAGATTCCGAGTCCCTTCGGCGGAATAATGAGACGGCCGAGAGCTTTATTGCTAGGAGAGGTTGACGAATGTTAAGTAGGGGTCAACCGGTTAGTCGTGGGGAAGAGGAGGAGATCTCGGGGTATGTAGACGACACGAGACAACACTCTAGACTTACACGGAAATTTGTCGCACCTTGCTGGCGTTGGTCAAACTGGGCGCCCGGTGGATGACAAGTATCACGGCGAATTATTCGGCGGTGTTGTTGTAGCGTACACAAAAGCCCCCACGTGACTATGACCTGTATATTGTTCTTCAGTGCTCCTTTAAGTACTAAGTTAGCTTCCAAAGAGGTATGCAGAGAAAGCTACAAGCAGACTCTCCATATCCTTCCTGGAATAGGCTCATTGTAAATACTTGACAAGTGGCTACCTTGTAGAACACTTCGTATTAAGACTGTTTAAGGGGGGGCCGCTTCCCCTTTCTATGCTCCTTGAGTTGAATGTGACATAGTGTTACACGTACTAAAAGACTAGGTTGCGCATCTAAGACCGAGAGTCTGCTTATCATATATATAATCATGCGATTGTGATCCTTAGCTACACATTCGTCTATTTGGCTACCCATCTATTTCATAATCTATCCGAGACCTCAATACGCGGGCGGGGAGGCAGTTCAGGCATATGGACTAGAGATCTCCCATTTAAAGGAAGGAGGGCAACCAGGCCTACTTGGCCCTTTAACCCCCTAAAAATTATTGTGTTTCAAATATCCTGCTATGCCCTTACTATAAAATAATAATATCTAAAGTATGTGTTATCCCTATGAGAGTTACAGTCATTAATCTTAAAGCTTAGAAGCTGGTTACCCTAGCCTATTTACTGTGTTGGCCAATATTAAAAGGGCTGGTTGTAAAATGAATAGACACGTATACTCGTATATAGATAGGTAAGTATGTAGGCAGTATTTAGGACTTAGTAAATTGAGCAATCGAGTCTTGAACGTTCTTGACATCCGTTTCTTGTAATATTGACGTATGTTTAGAGTTACTATAATAACTACCCTATAGGGCAATTGTGTAACAAGGGCTTGGGAAAATTTTCAAATTGTAATAATATTTTATAGAGTTAAGGAGATAATGAAAAACTTAGTCACTATTTAGCCAAGTAGTGTCACAATCATCATCTAGAACAAAGAATAGTCAGGGACTAGCTAGCAGAGACTGTTGGAGTCTTCGCGCAAGAACGAGTATCAATACATAACCATACTAGAGATCCTAACAAGTGGAATATAGCAGCTTATACGCTCGACTGGCCTCGCTTCTCTTTACCCAATTCAGCCCCAGTCTCGATTCCGTATAGGTAGCTATCTCGGTGTGTTTCCGTGTACCACGGGAGATCAGGAGAATGTAGGGAAGTCGACATCTGAAGCCTCGTACAAAGTGTCATGTTTGTATGATAATAACGGGCCGACTGTCCACCAACGGCGAGTTGGGTGTAACCGACAAGGCCTGGGATATAGCTACGTTCACATGCTCTTGTATTCAAATTAGGAGGTTTTGGGGGTGAGGATTACTAACACAAATTTTTGTTTGCGCCATCTTGTCCTCAGTTTCGGCTTATGTGAGGACTACAAACTTTATGCTAAACATCCCGGCTATAATAAGGAGACTCCAGAATATGATAGAACTTTTCCTGAAATATTCACTACAGCCTAACTCTGGGCATCTCACTACACCAATTTTCTTACTATTCCGTAGCACGTCATGAAATCCTGTTTAGTTGTCCTTGGCCGTAATACTCTTCTCGCACAATTCTAGTTCGCCGTAGTACTTCTTGTGCTCCGGGGCATCAGCAAAGTTTTTCATGTAGGCGACCAGGTTTGGCAGCTCCTTGCGCAACTCGGCATCTATCAAGTACTTGAAGGAGTAGTATAAGACGCTGGTAACCATGAGGTCGGCCATCGTGAGTCTATCCCCAACGAGGTGCTTCTTTCCACCCTGCAGGGCAACTTCAAGGTATTTAGCATCTCGCTTCAAGGCAGCGACGTTGTCATTGAAGCGTTTCTCATCGAAAGTGTAGAGTTTCACTAATTGTATGGCATGTCAGCATTTGACTGTCCAAGAGTTCGATGCCACGAGTCTTCCCAATTAGCGACAACGAAAGAAGTATTACTTACAGACCACCATAGCAATTGGTACGAAGGCGTTGTTGAACATCCCGCTCTCAGTGTAGGATGTCCACTGCGTGATGAGGGCTTGAGTCTTCGCATCTATGAAACCGAGGATTTAGTCCTGCTGAATACTACGCGGTAGCAAATGCCATACCTGTACCAAGTAGTTGACCTTCTTTCGGGCCAGACTTCGCTAGGTAAGTAGCGATGGCGGTGCTCTCAGTCAGACAGAAGCCATCAGCGCCCTCAAAGGCCGGGACCTTGCCGAGTGCGAACTTGGACAGGAATTCAGGAGTGGCGTTGGTCTGACGCATCGTGAATGGCGGGACTTCTATCTCTAGGCCATTCAAGTCGGCTATGATCAACGCCTAGGTCGCATGATTAGTAACTCGTCGTTGAAGATGATTTATCCTTCGCAGGAACAAGAGAAGGGATAGTTTTCTTACACGATTGACGCGCAAGTTGTTAGCGTATGTGTAAATCTTGCCGAAGGGAGCCATGTTGAAGGGATTATGGAGGGGGTTAGGGTTGGTAGGTGGAGTTTTGGTTAGAGGCAAGTAACGAGTTGAGCAAGGTGTTGTGATATGGGACAATATGTTGCAATCGAGCCAACGCAGGTGATGTGAACTAGCTGGGATATGGACAGAGATGGCTTGGGGCCCGGGTCGCCCACCTTTTAAAACTATTAGTTGCGGCCAACGGGGCTAGATGTTGTCAGTTCTCCATTTGTAAGCTACCGCTGATGTCCCACACGATATTAGACCGCCGGATATCTGTAATCGCCCTGTACCCTGCCCGCATGGGTTTACCTTCCCCCGTAACCTATACATGAAGGTTTTCTCCAGGCCTGGAAGCTGGCGGGTCGGTCCAAGCATGAAACGAGCGGGAACATGCTTCCGTTGCGCCCGTCGTGCATTAACCGCAGCTAGAACCAGGAGTCGTGATGGGGTGTCGTATATGGGGGGTTAGTAGATGATACCTTACAGGTTGCGTGCCTACTTAGGTAGGTTGATACCTACTCCAGTGCCACTCAAGCTCTAAGTGCATTTCTGTCTGATTTCCTAGTTTTCGTTCCCCGTTCGCTTACCCACTTCAGGTACCTAGTCTACTAAATAGGTGTATGAACCTAAGTAAAGGCTAGGTATACATGTATGAAGTTTTGCTGTATGAGGAGAGGATAAGGACAGATAGATGCTGCCGCTGTCCACCACCTTGCATAAGACTTGCACCTGTTGGCGCAATCTACTTATACTAGGGACCTCTGTTTTTTCTGCTCTATCACAAGGCTAAAGAAATGGGGTGGCATAGAGCCGCCGCGAACCAGGATGCTCCAGTCGCCCGTCGTCTAGGTGGACTAGCAACGGGCCTAGAAGTCGACGACTAGGATTACCTGACATCGGGTATACCTATACGCATATACGACCCCTGCACTACTCTAATTCCCTGGTTTCCCCTACGTTCCCCGCAAGGCGTTGCGACTGTATAACCGATGTCTGCGATGATCTCGAAAGATTAGGGTAAGAATAAGCTCGCCGTATTTGTAAGCTGAATATAGGTTGATCCCAGAACTCCGGTTTCCGGATCACTGTGCTTAGGGGGGCGGTGGTAAGAAAGTCCGGTAAAGCATGATCTTTATTACTAATAGGTGGGCTCTGTGTAGAATGAGAAGGCCAGATGTTGCCAGGGACTTAGAAATCGAGAGCTGGGAGATCATGTTGATGACGTTGTTGTGCGCCAATGGAGGATATAAATAACACGACTACTTACTTATGCGACTTGATTTGCTGAGGTTATATTGACACGTAAGCTATATGCTCATCTTGTTACCACGAAACGGCGTTAAACCGGCGTTGAGGCCAGTGGCTTAGACCGTGTTGAAGAGGACTTATTATATAAGGCTAGGTATAGTTAGTTGTCTGCGGATGGAGTTAGTTGCGATAGTGTCAGGGTGTCAGGGACTATATGTAGGTAGATATTTAGTAGTAGTTACACCTAGCAATACATGTAGGTATGTAAGCACCTAAGTTACCTCTTTAAAATTTCCCCACTGGACCCCGCCTAGGTCTAGGTAGTCTTTTAATAGTGCTAGAATCATGTGGGATTCTCTACATTAGGCTGGGTACCTAGGTACTTACTCCCAAAGGTGCCTACATTCAAATGATTACGCTTTTGTCAATAGTGTTATCCCGTCCGAATGAGACTTGCTATTGAAGATGGCAGTTATCGATATTGATGTGGTTTCTGATTTTGTCTGCGCTGTACGTGCTTACTCCCAGCCTATTCTCGCTTGCGCTTGGATTGGCCAGGCTCAGTTGGTGGTGCAGGTGTTGACGATGCTATTAGTGGTGCTACATCGGCAAACGAAAACTTGAGCGCGCAATCGCCTTGTACCAGAAAGTTTATCCAGGAGGAAGATCCGACGTTTTCAGGATCAACTGGCGGCCATATTATCTGGGGTACAATACCTTCGGCCGTAGCGTCGAGAAGAGTGAGCTTGCTAAAGTCAAGTTGGCGGACTGGAGCGAGGAGAAGAAGGCGGCGGCAACGAAACGCGTGGAACAAGCGGGACGTGCCGTTGGAATTCACTTCAAGCACGGCGGCATGATCGGGCCCCATACGCGGGATGCCCATCGCCTAGTATACCTCAGCCGCG